CGTGCAAAGAAAATGATAGGATGGATAATGAGAACGTTCAAAACGAGAGATGCTAATAATGATCCTTTTCAAATCACTTGTTCTCTCTAGGCTGGAATACTGCTGTACATTAACATCTTCATTCAAAGCAGGTGAAATCGCAGATCTAGAGAGTGTACAGAGATCCTTTACTGCACGTATAAGTTCTGTCAAGCACCTTAACTACTGGGAACGCTTGGAAGCACTTGACTTGTACTCGTTGGAACGCAGGGGGGAGAGATATATCATAATCTACACTTGGAAAATCCTGGAAGGAATGGTCCCAAATCTGCACACAGAAATCACTCCCTACGAAAGTAAAAGACTGGGCAGGCAATGCAAAATGCCCCCAATTAAAAGTAGGGGCGCCATTGGTACACTAAGGGAAAACACCGTAAGTGTCCGGGGCCCAAGACTGTTCACCAGCCTCCCATCAAGCATTAGGGGAATTGCCAATAAACCCCTGGCTGCCTTCAAGAGAGAGCTGGACAGATACCTAAAGTCAGTGCCGGATCAGCCGGGCTGTGGCTCGTACGTTGGACTGCGTGCGGCCAGCAGTAACAGCCTGGTTGATCAGGCCCTGATCTATCGGGAGGCCTGATCATGGACCGGGGCGCGGGGGCGTTGTTCCCCGGAATAACCTCCAGGTAACCTCCAGGTATCCAGAACATACAGAGAAGAATGACTTAAATGATTTACTGTGTAAGGAATCTCCCGTATGAAGATAGACTTAAAGCCTTAAATCTCCACTCTCTGGAGAGACGTAGAATGAGGGGAGATGTCATTGAAGTGTATAAGTGGATGACGGGTATAAACAAAGGAGATGTTAATAAAGTACTGAGGGTGTCGAACCAGGTAAGAACCAGAGATAGTGGGTTTAAGTTGGATAAATTTAGATTTAGAAAGGATATGGGTAAGTACTGGTTTTCTAACAGAGTTGTAGATGCCTTGAACAGTCTTCCTAGTAGGGTGATTGAGGCTAGGACTTTATGCAGCTTCAAAAAAGAAATTGGATAAATATATGAGTGGGAGGGGCTGGGTTTGATTTGTGTGATTGGGTACGGGAGTAAATTCTTGGGTAGCTTTGGGTAGAGGTCATTTTGATAAGGACCTGCCTGGTATGGGCCAGTCTTCCTTCTGCAGTGTTCCTCCATTCTTATGTTCTTATGCTCTTAAGTTGTTCTAGCCCGCCTCACCGTCAGCGAAAATTCACGAAACTCGAAAGTACTTGACCATACAATCCTACTAAGATCACACACCCAGTAGATCTTGGTGCTCTATCTTGATCCGAGGACATACAATGGTGTTGGTGCCTCAAAGCTATTTGCAAACAAGTGATACAAGATGTAAAACAACTACAGGGGATTTGAATTATAGTTCTACGCCTTTCTTGTTGCAAATATCACATCATCAAGAGCTTGCAATGTTGCAGAAAAGAGTAGGAAGTACAAGTAAATTTATTCAGGAGAATGAATTTTATCTGAATGAGGCAGCACGCGGGAGAAGCTAGGTTCCCCAAGCATACCAGTACGAGGGAGAAGCTAGGTTCCCCAAGCATACCAGTACGAGGGAGAAGCTAGGTTCCCCAAGCATACCAGTACGAGGGAGAAGCTAGGTTCCCCAAGCATACCAGCACGAGGGAGAAGCTAGGTTCCCAAGCATACCAGTACGAGGGAGAAGCTAGGTTCCCCAAGCATACCAGCACGAGGGAGAAGCTAGTTCCCCAAGCATACCAGTACGAGGGAGAAGCTAGGTTCCCCAAGCATACCAGTACGAGGGAGAAGCTAGGTTCCCCAAGCATACCAGTACGAGGGAGAAGCTAGGTTCCCCAAGCATACCAGCACGAGGGAGAAGCTAGGTTCCCCAAGCATACCAGTACGAGGGAGAAGCTAGGTTCCCCAAGCATACCAGCACGAGGGAGAAGCTAGGTTCCCCAAGCATACCAGTATGCGGGAGAAGCTAGGTTCCCCAAGCATACCAGTACCCAGTGCCAGAAAGCATTAAAAAAAAACAGCCACCAGACAAGCACTGATACTGTAGTAGTGAAATTGCAAATGTAACATTAGCGACATGAATTTAAAAAAAATTGGTCAGAGTAGTCGTCAACAAAGTAAAGTCTTAGGCTGGTATGGTGAAATGCTCTGTTCCGCAAGGTACAGTACTCGCTCCCATCTTGTTTCTCATCCTCATATCTGACATAGACAAGGATATCAGCCACAGCACCGTGTCTTCCGTTGCAGATGACACCCGAATCTGCATGACAGTGTCCTCCATTGCACGCACTGAAAGGCTCCAGGCGGACATCAACCAAACCTTTCAATGGGCTGCAGAAAACAATATGAAGTTCAACGACGAGAATTTTCAATGACTCCGATATGGTAAACATGAGGAAATTAAAACTTCTTCAGAGTATAAAACAAATTCCAGCCACAAAATAAAACGAAAAACTAACGTCACAGACCTGGGAGTGGTCATGTCGGAGGATCTCACCTACAAGGACCATAACATTGTATCAATCGTATCTGCTAGAAAAATGACAGGATGGATAATGAGAACCTTCAAAACTAGGAAGGCCAAGCCCATGATGACACTCTTCAGGTCGCTTGTTCTATCTAGGCTGTAATATTGCTGCACACTAACAGCACCTTTCAAGGCATGTGAAATTGCTGACCTAGAAAATGTACAGAGAACCTTCACGACACGCATGAGGGAGATTAAACACCTCACTTACTGGGAGCGCTTGAAGCTCCTGAACCTGTGCTCCCTGGAGAGATACATGATAATATACACCTGGAAAATCCTAGAGGGGCTAGTACCGAACTTGCACACGAAAATCACTCACTACCAAAGTAAAAGACTTGGCAGACGATGCAACATCCCCGCAATGAAAAGCAGGGGTGTCACTAGCACGTTAAGAGACCATACAATGAGTGTCAGGGGCCCAAGACTGTTCAACTGCCTCCCAGAATACATAAGGGGGATTACCAATAGACTCCTGGCTGTCTTCAAGCAGGCACTGGACAAGCACCTAAAGTCGGTATCTGACCAGCCGGGCAGTGGCTCGTACGTTGGATTGCGTGGAGCCAGCTGTAACAGCCTGGCTGATCAGGCACTGATCCACCATGAGGCCTGGTCACAGACCAAGCCGCGGGGGCGTTGACCCCGGAACTCTCTCCAGGTAAACTCCAGGTAAACTTTGATATGATACAAAGAACTGATGTTCTGAATATAAATACATCTGGCAATTATCTTATAAGAATTCCATGATTTTAAGAAAATGGATCTATGGCCAACTCAGTTTAAACTAAAGGGTGACATCTATAGTTTATCCATAGGAAGACAGCTATAGTTTATCTCTCTCACCAGACCCTTAGGTTAACACTGGTATAACCATCAGCAAAAAGGTCCTAATTCCTCGATGTGGAACTATGACACTTAAAACAATCCAAAGTGTTCACATAGAAGTCCAGTTTCAGGATATGAGCTCATTTTTAAATGAATCGAGTTGTCATATTTTATAATTGCTGATTCTAAAATATTGCTATCAAGGAACCAGAACTTTGGATTCTGACCAATTTGTGGAATTGTTGCACTCCTGGGTATCTCTGAATATCGCATTTGAATCATTGGCTGTTTGTATTGAATATCGGTGTTGTGTTATTCTAACATCTACCCGTTGGCCAGTGTGTCCCATGTAAGATAAGTTGCAGCCACTGCACCAATCCTGTAAACACTACCAACACAGTATTGCAGGGAATTCTTGATGAATATACTCTTATCAGCTCATGAATTCTCAAAAACAACTTGTATGATGAATCATTTTAGGGTATTTGGCAGGACAGATAAATTCTCATTGTGTGGAAGGACCAGCACGTTCTTGATTTGATGAGTTGTTCTAGGTTCAGTCCTATAATGCAGTGTCGCCTACCTAGCTGGTAACTTTCTAATTAATTCTTCGTTATCTCTCAGCAATAACGATAAACATATATATCATTTATTTTAATTAGTATTAAATATATTTACACTGACCTATGCTATACATAGTAGAATTTATCTAAATCATATTACACTAATTTAAGTGAGATTAATTAATGTTTCTAAGTTTCAAAATGAACGTTTTAAATTAAGTTGGTTATGAGATTTTGATATAAAATTTTTTTTAATTAAAGTGTAAAATAAGCACATACACATATTTATACTCAGTTGTATGAGACATTCTACAAGTGGTTGGTTGCTTTAGCTTTATTAAAAGCATTTTTAATCTAAGAATATAAATATTAAAAATTATTCAATGGATCCATAGAAACAAATGCTTTAAAGCGAAGAATATGCTGTGACTGGCGGGGATTTAAAACCGACTATCTAGAAAGCCTCCAGGGAAGCTAACTAAACTGTCGATGCCCTGAACTACTACGCTAGTCGTTTACTAGTACTGGGAGTTGAAAATTTAACTAGGGTCCGGGGAAGCTGACAAGACAACTCGGGTTCAAATCCAGGTCAGTCGTAATATGTTCTTTGATTAAAAACAATCTGTAACTTCTTTGACAATAATTACCTCTTGATCATAAAACTCGAAGGTGCATGGCCACAGTGTTCGCAGGGACAAAGGTGAACAAACTTTTATTGACAGGCTTTAAGTGTTTAGAGTAATAATGAACATAGCCAACATATTCTCGAAATGCACTGCATGCTAGTGGTTTTCTTTGTGACTAACAATATTTTATTCTCTGTAAACTACATTACCTGAATATTGCAGAAAAGAAATTAATTATTTGTATTTGTTTTATTGATAGACTTGTTGGTGACTGTTTTGTAGTTTAGAAATGTTACTAGAAACCCTGGAATAAATGAAGATGATATAACTGTTGGTGTCTCCCTCTACACAGCGTGTTTTGAGAATGGTTACGGTAATTCTGCAATCGTATATGGCAGTGTTAGTTGAAGTCAGTGTACTGAGGCTCATTGAACTCGGTCTTCCACAGGTTGCATATCCCTTCCTGCACGAAGTTCCCTTCATTACACTATCAACATCAGGGATGGAACCACGCCAGAGTGCCGTTCTCGGCAACGTTGTCAACCCAGCCTACGTCCCTAACTTCATGCAAGACTACCCAAAACCCATGAACCTCTGGAATCGCTTCTGCAATACGTTGGCACAAATTAGATTGGCGCTTTACTGGCGGAAATGGACCATTGTGCCAATGGTACAAAAAGAGGTGAGCAATATGGAATCACAGACAATAATCTAGGTTGGCACAGCAAATAATCGTCAGGAAAAGAGTAGAATTATCTATACAAAATTATTCTGTTTCATAAAAAGTGTAGTTATAATTTTACTACAATGTGAGGAAACTAATGTTACTTTGAGCAACAGAGAATCTTGATATTTTGATGCAATGCCAGACCCGCTCCCATGTACAAGTGTAAAGTATTGGTGGCATTCCTCAGATCTCAGCTCAGTTCCCGGAGCTGCCACTGTTGTTGGACCTGGAGAGGAACGTGAGTTTATCGCTGCTCAACAGTCACTTTTCTATCAGCACACCACTGCCTCTCCTGCCCTCACAGGTGGAGGTGGGCGCCATGCACTGTCGTCCTGCCAACCCTCTTCCTGAAGTGAGTTGTTCTGACTACCTGACCCATGTTTGTATCATCTTGTTGCGCCACCTTAAATTATATCACTGGTCTTGTCCATGAACAATCGTTCTGTCATCAGAGGCTTAGATCTGTAGTCTTACTTTACTGTCCTGCCTTTCCTTATGCAATTCTTTTATTAGAAGATAATAAAGCACGCTTTTTTTTACAGGAATTAGAATCGTGGATCACTGGATCGGGATCTTCTGGCGTAATTTACTTCAGTTTGGGATCTGTTGCTCGCAGTTCCTCAATGCCAGTCCAGTACCGCGACCTCTTCATCCAGGCTTTCCGCAGGCTGCCACAGCGAGTCATCTGGAAATACGAGGAAGAGCTGGAGGACGTCCCTGACAACGTGATGATCAGCAAGTGGCTTCCCCAGCAAGACATTCTTGGTGAGTCTTAGCTTCCATTAGTAGCCTTACGTATATTAGCTACATATTATCTATATTTTTTATTAGTTATGATAGTTTTTTTTATAGAAGTAGGAAAATTTTTTTAGCTATTCTACTAGTAACTTTCACTCACAATATTCACCCTATAGATGCTCTCACAACCTTTATCCTATCTGACGTTCATTCTTACATCTTATGTTATAGAGAAATATATTCATTGTAAGAAAACATTTGAAGTGTAAAAACGTGTAAAAACGGTGGTGAAAACAACGAAGAAACAACCAACAAGGTTGGTGCATCACGAGTCTTAAGTTTGAAGTCGGACAGTTTGAATTAAAATAACGAATGCTGATAAAACACTGTTATAAGTATTCTTAATTTATAATATATACTTCAGGCAGCTATTTTTTTGCATAGAAATACATGAAATTTTGTTATAAATAATGAACAAGAATGAACCTAAACATTTTCAACTTTCATTATTATTCGGTGTACATTTTTATGATAAAGAAATCGTAATTAAAATTTTGATAATTAAATCATCAAACAGTCAAGGAAGGTCCTTGATGCTGGTGAGAGGCTCTTGATCTTAAATTACACCTGTGCTTCCTATGCTTTTCTTGTCGTGGGGGTTCGAAAGGAGATATGATGGCATAAGATAAACACACTTGTGGATGGTAACACTATATATTGTCAGACTGTGGTAAGGGAGGGCCCAGCCTCCCGTGTTGCTGCCTGGTAGGTCTAAGCGTGGACTGAGAGCGAGGTAGCGCATCCCACTCACTCATGCCGCATCCCGTGACGTCATACAATCACTAGGCCTAGTAGGGATCGTCTATATAAAACACATGGATGGTACTATGATACTCAGATAAGCTATACAACACATGTAAGGGGGATCAGCAACTATGCTGACAGCTCGGTCATGTTGCATATGTCGTCTCGACATACACTACTATGCTATAGACTGAACAGGCAGGTGGTTCTGGGCTGACTCTATGCAATAACAAAGGCATATGTAACTTAGAACTAATGGATGTATCATAGTGGATGTTAACATAATGAGTTTTAACGTAATGGGTGTTAACGTAATGAGTTTTAACGTAATGGGTGTTAACGTAATGAGTTTTAACGTAATGCATTACGACTTATAAGAACAAATCATTGTACAATATGGATGGAATTGATTACTGATGCACTGATTACTGTCAACGAGGATGGGATCACCATCTGGAACACAAGGGACAACAACAACACTCAAGTGAGTACACTGGCCACAGAAACGTCTTTCTGCAACGGCTTGTGGCATCAGCAAGAGATGGCATAACTCGTTGCAAGTAAAGTTCTTCTCAAAGCATCCCCTGGGAAGGAACGAATACTTGAACAAGTCGCCATCGCAAGGATAGTCGTCTCAGCACACAGGGTTGTCTGAGGTTCCTCTGAAACCCAAGGTAACTGTACACTATCCTGCATGCACGATATTGTGGCTGGATTCCAGACAGGAGTGACAGTATTACAAGTGCTTGACCGCTCGGCTACGTTAATAAGTAATTCACGGTTCTATAGGAACTTAATCTGAACTTCACATTTTGCAGCACTTTAACAAATCTCAGATACAAGCTGTGAGAACAAACACATTGCTCAGGGGCTAGGTATTGTCTTCCAGTCAGTAAGGGAATATTGATATTGTGGACTGATTCATATTGATTTTGACTGGCATGGTACACTAAGTGAGCATTCAAAAGTGACTGGGACATCTTCTCAGGGAACTTACTCAAGGACATAAAGGCAAGAAAATAAAGAGAATATATGACACAGTGAGCTTAAATGGGAAGAAATTACTTAACTATTCTGCATAAGTAAATAAAAATTGACAAGTCACACTGTAAGCAAGGAAAACTCACACTCACAAAAGAAAATACTCAACTGAATAAGCAACACTTTGAAAATCAAGATAAATTGCACTCTACTCAAATCAAATTTGCTCAAATTTACTTTAAATTGAATTAATGGCACAGTGAGTTGTCTTTACTCTCAATGCAATAAAGAAATTCAACAATAAAATGATAAATCTATCAAAAATGCTAAAATGGACTCAATAAAGCTTGTGCAAAATTAAAACAAACTGGGAAAGCAATTCTAAATAAAAAATATTAAGTGACACACAAGGAACAAAATATTATGCACAGAAAATATAAAACTGAAATCACAGAATATTGCACTGAAATAAACTGTAGCAATATTGCAAATAACAATTTCTAATCAAAAGTTCTAAACAACACTACATAAAATTTCTGCAAGAAAAATTTTAATGGCAACACAATGTCTACACAAGAATTATTGTAAAATGAGTCAATGTTGCAATGATAAATAAAAAAAAAATCACACACAAGAAAATACAGTTTACAAAAACAACAAAAAAAAATATTATCAAGGAATGAACTGATTAAACACTTTAACTCTTAATTGCAGCTTAAGCAACACTTACTGAACAAGCAAAAGAATGATTTACTTTAAAAGAAGAACTTAAAAAAATGCACTAAGAGTGAATTTGTTCATTGAAATATAAAAATAATAGATGCAAACACACAGAACAAAGAGGTTTGAACACTTACAGTGATGCAGAACACAACACATCAATATAAACACAATACAATGAAATGAAACTTGAGATATGAAAATTTTGGAAAATAATTGTCTTGCTTCAACAAAATAATGGCACTATTGTCTGTGGAGATAAGACAAATTAGACACTGGCTAAATGAAAAGAATTAACACAAGAATGTTCAACACACAGAGAAAAATTAAAATGGCAAATGAATGAAAACAAAAACAGCAAGAATACACAAATGCTGGGAGAAAAAAAATATAACAGACAACACTGAGTTGTGATGCAGAATATAAGGTAATAAACTACTGAATTACTTCACTGCAATACTGTGAACACAAGATAATTGTGAAGTGTAAACACAAGTTTTATACTGCTTATATATTGCACACAACAAGGAAAAACACTAAAGTACTTACTTCAAGAATATATATATATAAATAGAAGCACAACACAACAGACATAAAACAAAGCACGAAAATTAACACTGAAGAAAGAAGAGAAAAAAATATTGCAAACAGTATATAATGAACACTGAGTCTAATCAAGAGTTACTGAATGTCACTAAGAAATCAGTCAAGAAAATTGTCTCAACACTCGTAAATGTCTCTATGAAAAATATTATTCATTAACACTGTAGCAACGTGGTGTGAAATGAGGTGGATGGTGGAGGATGATAGTGGAGTCTCGTGGTTGGCTGTGTTCGCTCCACACGTGATCGAAGAATTTGTGCTTAAATCGACGATGAACTCACACAGGAGGCTTTTACGATGGCACAAGCTGACGAAAGAATGCACCTGGCTCTTGACCCCCTATATGGTCCTTAAAATATGGTGCTAGAACCCATAAACAGGGTACAAAAACAGTGGTAGTGGGTGAGGTGGGTGGCTGAGGCAGCGCGGTGGTGAGACACCGTGTGGTGACTGGGCCTATGGGATGAATGGTGTAAGCCACACTGGGGCCACCCGCACTAGGCACGAAAATATTCTAAGCCAGGCTGGTTTAAAAACAAACCCACAAAATACCACAACACCACAGAGATGATAAAACACTCAGAATGGCTTGGAACTTGAAGCACAGAGCTGTAAAGAAAACTGTACCCATGTGGCTTGCTTGAGTACTGGGTTAGTCATCTGGGTTAGTTGCTGGCTGGCTTAGCTTAACCCTTCACACAGACTTGCTTGATAACTTGTAACGATGAGCACAGCAGGGGTGGAAAGCTGGCTTGGCAGGCAAGGCTGGATGGTGTAAGACTGGCTGGACAGGGCTTGGGCTGACTCCCCCACCACAGACTGGTTTAAGTGGCTTGGCTTACTTTGCAAACCCGGGTCAACCCCTCAGAGGTAATGCAAATAGCAAAATAAACACTAATACACGGAGACTGACCAGTGAATAATGCAGAGGGCTGGTAAAAGCTTGCTTGGCTAGGTTGGCCTACTGACCACACAAAATGTCCATTGTCGGCTGCGAGAATTTATCTAAGTGCATCAGCGTAATTATCAATTTTACGCCCATACTGCTGTCACCAATTTGTCGTGGGGGTTCGAAAGGAGATATGATGGTTGAAGATAAACACACTTGTGGATGGTATCACTATATATTCTCAGACTGTGGTAAGGGAGGGCCCAGCCTGCCGTGTTGCTGCCTGGTAGGTCTAAGCATGGACTGAGAGCGAGGTAGCGCATCCCACTCACTCATGCCGCATCCCGTGAGGTCATACAGTCACTAGGCCTAGTAGGGATCGTCTATATAAAACACATGGATGGTACTATGATAGTCAAATAAGCTATACAACACATGTAAGGGGGATCAGCAACTTTGCTGACATTCTTTCCCAGTGATTCTGTAAAATCCCTACATGTTTAGCACTTTCCTTATCAATAAAAATTAAAAATAATAATGATATGAATAATTGTAAAAATGACTATAATGATAATAGCAATAATATTAACAAAAATGACAATAATGATAATAGTGGTGGTGATGGAAGATAATGATGGAGGTGTAACTCAAATATCACACATAGTTATGGGAAGGAGCTGGTGATAGTGTTGGTGATGATGGTGGTAATGGTGCTTGGTGATGGTGCGTGGTGCTGGTGCTGACAGCAGTGACCGACAAACACTAGACACTCTCTTTTTCACCTCCTTAAATGTCTAATTCGTTTCAGCCACACCCACCTGGTGGAGGTGTCATTCTCACCATGACCACTGAGTGTTATGACCAAAATATCGGGTAACCCTCGACTACTCACATGGTGCTGATGACCTAAATCCTAATTAGATTTACCAACCCATCAAGCCCCAAGCTAATGTGTTCTCATCAATTTTATGACTATATTCGACCTCTGTTGGTAATCGTTTGACTTTTCGTCTGAGAGTGTGAATTAATT